ATGTATTCCAAAAGCCAAGCTACTAACTTACTAAATGGTGTTATGTTATGAATAAACTACGAGCAAATAATTTCTGTTTTTTTTTTTATTTGACATGATTCCCAAATCTGTTGCAGTTATTTAAATTTAGATTTATTACTACTAGGTATATTTCTATCTTAAGATTCTATATTGAGGAAAGAACTTAAGGATTTTAGAAGTTGAAGCAACAGTGAACATAAGAAAATATCAAACATAATAAGTAAACAAATAATAAAAAATTCAGAACATATTTTATGCAATAAAAAAGTGACAATGAACAGCCTAATCTGTTTTGAACAAGCAGCTAGTTTTCTATTTTGAAGACAAAATTCCAAGATTGAACTGAACAAATTTCATTGAGCCGTACTCACCATGCTCTATTTAAAAAATACAAACTGTAAACTTATCTCAGTAAGAAATCCACATGATTTCCTTATATATCAAGTAAATATAAAACAGGGTTACAAGAAGTTGCAATTGGTAATTTTACTTAACAAGAATCGATCTATTTTTTAAGTTTATTTGCGATTTCCTACCAAACTATAGAACTGTCACCAGCCAACTCTTAATCCAGGCGTATCACTACTTAACTTAGGGATTACTGCTATCAATTCTGCACTAACCCCTCTTAACTTAGGATCATGTTAGGGTTGTCCCTTCTTAAAACAGAATTGCCTCTTCTCAACCCAAGCTTGCTTCTTTTTAATCAGGCGTAGCTACTAGTTTTCGGAATGGTAATGACTTATTCAAATGAATAAACGACTAGCTCGTAATTTTTGCTTCATTTGGAACACAACATGGGTTACCTAAATCTACTTCAGTTATTTGGAAAGTGTTATTTTCTCATTACAGTATTCTAAACTACTTTTGTTTTACTTCACCAATGCTTCTTTAGGCTGAAAATCAACAGCCAAACACATTTTCTTAAATCCTAACCTAATCTATTAATACAAAAATAGTCAAGTTTCCTACTTTATTATTCTACATTCAAAGAGGAACTTAACATTTTGAGCCCAAAAAACTTGGATATCACGACAAAAAAATTTGTTTTTGGTAACATATTGTATGCTAAAAGATAGATGAAACATGAAAATTATAGGAATTCATTTATGAAAAACGAAGTTAGTGAAAAACTAGTCTGCGGAAGTCGATATCAAAGAGTTTTGAGAAAATTCTTTAGTTAGATGTACAAATTTAAAGAGATTTGATGTTTCCATAGCGTTAATCAAAGGGACTGATAGTGGCAGCGTTCTAATTTTATAAACTAAAGCTTTTGATTCTATTAATCATTATTACTTATTGTTTTTTTATTAATAAAAAGTGTATTATTTTAAAATAAGCCAATATTAGATATGTTTTTACAAGATTCTTTGTATTTAAACAGACACATATGTTTAATTACATATTTTATTTATTATAAGTTTTCCTTAATTATTCATTTGTCAGTTCATTATTAACATTGATTGCAGTTTAGAGCTACTCAAGATTCGTAGTAGGACGTTAATAGTCTGAAAGTAAGGGTATGTATTTCTTGTAATCTAAATAACGTCCCAGTGGTTGTATGAAGGAAAATAAAGAAGTCTTAGTTTCGACAATATCCTTGGATTCAATAACGTTTTCTGGTCCATCATCTGAAGCTGTGACATAAGCTAATAGGACGACCAAGGTAATCACCTGAAAGTAACGATTAGTGTTTTAATACGAGGGTACAATAATATTTTATATAAACACAAAAATATTGTTTGCATACGGAGAGTAAAACGTATCTACATTTAAAAATGTTAGGTGCCCATACTTACAGTCAATTTGAGAATCATATTTAAGGAGACGTCTTATACCGATGATAGTGTCCAAAGAAATAATGATTTAAAGAATGAATAGCTTGCTTTATATACTTTTAGGTAGACAGTAAAAAGCAGTGTTATCAGTAACGATATTAAATAAATTGTTAGTATGTTGTACATATCTCATAAAAATTTCGTGCCACAAACACCTACCTAACAAACCTTTATATCAACATGGAAAAGTACAGACTTAATATACCGAGTGAGCCAACTTTGGTGTTTTTCTCGTATCTCACAAGAGGATAGACAAACCGGTAAGTGTTGGTTAAGTTAAAGCGAAAACTACATTTTAGATTTTATAAGATAGAATAAAATCTTCTGCCATTGTGGAAGAATTCCATCCCATGTGATTCATCAACTTGTAAAATATCTTCCTCCACTTATCAGTGATGCGGATAAAGTCCTCAATTTTAGATATTCGTAATAATCTGCGATATGTGATGTTTTTTGGAGTAGAGCTAGATATTTTCTGTGTAATTCTAAATTAAATTTGTCATTCTATGTGTGCAAAAATGGCTACAACAATATAATTTAAAGACAGGCAATTTTAGAATTTCCAGTTATTTTTTTTGGGAACAAGTAAATGTTTGTCAATGTTGTGATTTGTATCAAAATGTCAAAATTTGTATCAAAGTGTCAGAAAAAATGTATGGGAGAAGAATATAACAGAACTCTATTTCCTATTATGTAGTTGCAGTTTATTAAGATATTAAAAACTACTTAATGATTGTTACAAAATGTAAATGTAATATTCTTATTATCAGATTTAACTATTATAATCTGATTAAAAAAAAATTGTAAAAAGAAAATAGAATAACATTATTTAAAATTGTATACTTACGGCCATTTCATGACCCATATCGAAGGAAATGGAATTGACAATAAACGACCAAGTAGCATGAATTATGTTAGTGAATTTTTGATTCCATGTAACTATTTGGAAATAGCATTAATCGAATCATTCTAATTTCCTTTTCTTTAAATCTTTTTTTTTAATGTCTTCGATTTGAGAATACTAAAAATGACTAGGAAGTTGTCGACATCCAGGGGAAAGTAGGATTAAAATGCTTTAAATGAAAATTTAAAACGAAACAAAACAACTTCTACTAATCTAATACTTTTATTGTTATGAAAGCAAAATTGTTGATCAAGTTTAATTAAACATTTGTTATTATAATACAGCCAATAATGGTCAGTAATATAACTTCAGTCACGCATAAGAACCATCATCGAAATCATAACTTGGTCCATAACTTCCCCCTTCATCTACTAATATATCTACTTCACCAGCTCCGTAACTTCCTCTATCGATGCTAATAATATCGTCGTCTATCGATATAAAGTCTAATCTGCCGGGTCTATAACTTCCTCCATCGAGGAGTAATTCTTCGTCTAGATCTATAATATCTAGTCCGCCAGGTCCGTAACTACCATCACGAAATGGAGGTTTAGGACCAAGGTTTGGACCATAATTCCCTCCATCGAGTTTTATGGGCTTGGGAGGTCTTAGTGGGTTTGACGCTGTGCAAACCAAAAGAACTGCTAGAAGAGCCACCTGAAAATTATTTTTGATTCAGAGGTGTCGATAATGATACAATACGTATTTGAAAACTTTGGAGTATCCTAAACCGATCATTTTTTCTTTCAAATTATGTTGGTAACGATGCTATGAAAACTACAAAAACTGTTTCAGTATCATTTAAAAACGATTCTTAATTTAGAAATACTGGAATATTACAATGGTATTTTTTGAGAACTAGTAAAAATTTCCTACTTATTGTAGGTATTTTAATTAGATTAAAGGTGAAGAAGATTAAGAAAAATAAACTTTATTAAATTTTGGAAATAGTAACTATTGCAAAAATTGCATAGAACCCTACAAAAACTTAAGACATTTTTAAGCAGGAAGAAGCGATAAATAACTGTTTTTTTATTTAAACATATATACTCACATTTAAATTGTGTATCATATTGAAGATAGCGGTGTTGACTATAAACGACTTCTAAGAAAACACTATTGCCTTGCAGGATTATTTCCTTTATATGTCAAGCAAAAAGGTCTCTACCACAAAATTTTATTAGTCACGATGTTGAAAAACAACCACCAACATTATTAATCATAAAGATAAAAATAGTAGTTTATTTAATTCGCTCAAACACGAACTAAAAGATAGTCAATTCAGATAGTAAAATTACGTATTTTTTATAGATAGATATATTTGCCAATTAGCCATTTTTAGGTACTATAAAATTTGTATAAAATTCTTCCAATTTCTCTTTTTTGGAGGCCACATTTTCTGTCGTCATCGATCAACTCGTGGTCACAAGTAACGTTTTCTTCATCGTACTGTCATTGGAGACGAAAAATGGTGTTGTACATGAACTTGAAACAGCGGAAAGTTCGAAAAAACAAGCAACTCCTCGAAAGATAATGTTATGCGTCTGGTGGGATTCGAAACGGGATTGTTTATTACGAACTCTTACCAAACAATCAAACCGTCTATGTCCAACAACTACAATGACGTGGCTATTCAACAAAAAAGTCAAAGCGACCATTCACCTCTTTCGTTCTTTGTCAAACTCCTTATGCGGTGGTTCTTTTAATAACGACAATAAGTTAAGATATTTTTGTATTTATATATTTTTAAAAAATTAAAAAATACACCCTGTAGAGAGAAGTTAGATAAATAATAACTAAAATTTAGTTAACATAATGTCAAAATGATTTTTTGTCTCAATTTTTCCTTTTTGGTTATTTTGCTACGCACATTAAAAAAAACAAAAAAAATTGTTATTAAACCATCCGTTATAAGAATCATTACTATAAAAACGCATTTCACTATATACTTTAACGTTTCGAGAGATTTTCTCATTTCTTTTTCAAACCTAATATATTCTTTTGCCAATATAGTGAAAAAAATATATAGCCTTTATTTAAATTTATAACATTGTTACTGATGCAACTAGCGATTTCCAATATTTAAATAAAAGATTAGGGCGAGGTTCTTCGTGATCCCATTTTAGGTGCGAGTTTAATCAATTTTGAAAAGAGTAGTAATTGCCTCACACCGAAGGCCAGATAATTTCTATATAAGTTGAAGAGCAGGTTGTCCGGAAATAATATTGTGCCTTCAGTGGTTGTGGTATCTGGAAGAAACCGAGAAAATGAACATTTTTGTAAGTAATTTTTGAAAAATATTTTCTCTTACTAGCTAACAAGGTAAATGAATGAATGTAAATGTTATGTTCTATTTTTACGTCTTCACGTGGACCCATTATACAAAAAACGTTCTACTGTTTTAGATACCAGATAATGAAATTATTACAATATTTGTTCTGTCGTCTGTCTTAATGATAAATTTAATAATTGTGATATTTTTAAATCTTACAGGCCACGAAAAAGTAATAGGAATATTTCTTGTGCTATAAATAGCACAGTCAATGAAATTAAATAGATGAAATAACAATTTTGAAAAATATAATTAAGCAATACCTACATAATAAATATTTTGTAATAATTGATTACATACCTATGTTTAACATATTTCTGTTTTAGGCTTTGGTGGTGCTAGTATTCCTAGCCGTATTCGCATCAGCAGCTTCTGGTGGTATATTTGGAGGTCATGGAGGCGGACTTGTCGTATCTGGACCTTCTGGGGTTGTAACTGAGCATGGAGCAATTGGTCCTTCGGGGCTAGGAGGTCTTGGATATGGGGGATATCCTGGATTTGGAGGTAGAATTTTAGTGTCCCGAATTGCACTATAATTTTTTTTTATAAATTTGTTACTAGGTTTTGGTGGTTACGGGGGATTTGGTGGTTACGGAGGATTTGGTGGCTATGGAGGACACGGTGTAGTTGTAAGAGGCCCATCCACTGTCCCAGCAACCATCATTGGCCCCGCTGGTAAAATTGTAGCTGACGGCCTTTACGGTGGGCATGGGCATGGTTGGTAGTTCAAGAAATCTACAGAAAACGTTCTATGTAATACAAGTAAACTTTTTTATTGTAATTTGTAAAATGGCAATTGTAAGTACAAATAATTTAATAAATGTATTTTGTGGCGAATTATGTTCTTTTATCTTTTAGAGTGTAGAAGGGTGAAAATTACACCACCCATGTGACACCAACACTTGAACTGAGACAGACATTATATCATAAAAAAAATATAGCGATAAGTAGTAGCTCTCGTATTGATCACACTTCGAATCGGCAGTTTTTACATTCAAATCAGACACCGGTGAATAATCATAGGCAACCAACATATCCACCAGTAAAAGTTTACTAAAATAAATTGTGTTCTTGAATTGCCTTCTTATTTAATATAAATATGTATTTACATTTCCCTGTCAAGATTTTTTCGTGCATTTAGCATCTTTAACGGTTATTTTCAGTATTCTTTTATTATTACAGATAGACCTATTAAACGTTATATTTCTATAATCATTAGAAAATGTTCTGAAAAAACATGTAAAAATACACTATGCTGTTTGATAAGAAGAAAAATGGGATCTGTATTTCTTTAATCTTCTTCAATTATTTTTTTAAGAGATGAATTCCTCGCGAATAAATCAAATCCACTTTCCCGAAATCTTAAAAATCAATGAAGTTCCGAATATAACATTACTTGTCTTTTATTATACAGGGTGACTCACAAATGGTGACCAAAAATGAAACATCGTATTTTCTGTTGAAATTTAAGGGCAGTCTTTCCTATAAAGTTTTTATCTAGAACTTTTGTGATCAAATATTATTGCATTTTTTCCCATAAGACATAATTTCACATTTCGATACGTTCAACGGTAATTTATCATTACACTAGTCATTTAGCAACAGGTTATTTTCACGGTTAACAGATTCAGAGTCATTCTATAATACAGCTTATGGTCATTTATACAAAGCAAATATTTAACGTTCATTTGGCTGACAATAGTATTGATAACAAATATAAAAAGGGAAGGGCTCAATTTTGAACCTTGCGGAACACTTTGTGACTGATAGAACAAATTAGACTTGAAATCACTATACATATTGTACAAATCATCACAAAAACAAAAGGCACTAATGAAATTGTTTAACAATCTATGATCAAGTCTATCTAATATCGAATTAACAAAATCTACCTGACTTTCCGCGTCAATAATATTGTTTAAAACTATGCTGAAGATAATCAAATTAAATTGTGATATTTAATACCTTACGCAAGTTATTTTTTGAATTTTTCAGTTAAACAGAATAAGTAAAGGTTTACAAATCATATCGACATAGTCCCTTTACAAAATAATTGGAATGAAATCAGGCCAATAGAAATATTGTTTAATAAACTAGTAAACAGGAGGCCACATTGCTACCATATAAAAAAATTGTAAATAAAGAAAGTTATTAAAACTAACCGCTTCACTTTTTTAAAAAATAAACAGTCAAGTTCCAAATTATGTTTATTAAAGCTTTTCACTTAAATTATAATCCTATACAAGGGAGGCAATTTTAAAACAATCTAGGTCTATTTAAAAATCACATATGTTACCATTTAACAATATTTTTTACGATATTGTAAAATATAATACAACATTATGCTTTTATCGCATCGGTTGGAGACATGATAGGTCCAACAATTCAAACTAACCGTTAATTTTATGCAGTTTTATAAACATAGTAAGGACAGTTACGTATAAGTAATTAAAACCATTACTTTGAACAATGGTCAAAATTTAAGGAAATCACGATGCAAATTTACCATCCATGACCATGACTGGGTACCCCGTATAGCCCATTCGCCACAATTTTACCAGCAGGGCCGGCGATTGTAGCAGGAACTGTAGCAGGACCTTTAACAGTCACTCCATGGGGTCCAACGCCTATGGTACCACCACCGTTGGTCACGGATACTCCGGGAGCTAGTCCTAGACCACTGTGGTAGCCCCCGTATGCCCCAAGACCTCCTAAACCCCCGAGGCCAAGACCACCATAACCACCAAACGCTCCAAGAGCTAAAAGAAAAGTATTATTTGAAACTTATTTACAGTATTTCATTGTCACACTGTATATATTTTCGAATAAAAAAGCTACAGTCATCTTTACCTCCAAGTCCCAATCCTAGCCCATGTCCTCCAAACCCAGCTGCTGGTCCTATAACGGAAGCGTGGGATACTGCAGGACCAGCGACAAAAGCAGAAGGTCCTACGGGACCACCAACGAAGGCAGATGGTCCTGCAGGTCCGCCAATGTAAGCTCCACCATGTCCTCCCAGTCCACCCAAACCTAGGGCAGCCGGTCCGATGGCTCCATGGTTGGTGACGACTCCCGAAGGTCCGGAAAGTACTATGCCTCCATGTGCTCCTCCTGGGGTTGCCTTGGTAAGTGTTGTTAGGGAAGAAATGGTTAATAAGATCTGAAAAATTATTATATGGTAAACTAGAAGTTGGTCTACGATTTCCCTAACGCTTTCGAAGCGCTGAATTTGAATCCCAAAAACAATTTTTCGCTTTGGGTTATATTATATCACAAGGTAGAAAGAAATACGAAGATATTTTCAATTTCTTTCAATGGAATTGCTGTGTTTCTTTCTTAATTAAACGCCTTGTACAACAAAAAATCAACTATTAGAGTTTAAATTTCCAAGAGTATGGAAAAATATCCCACAACTGGAAATAAAAAGCAATAAGATGAACTATATTGGGACATCTGTATTTCTATTCATAAAATTTCAATTTTATTTATTAAAACGTAGGTTTTCCAATATTTCCAACAGTTTTAAAATGTTTTATTTTATTGACAAAAATATCATTTAATTGTGATATAAATTAAAAGATTGAATTTTAAGAACACTTAGTTTCACTTACCAAAGCTCTCATGGTTGTTTGTTGCAGAACTTTGCTCTGAGGATCAAAGAGTACCTCTTGAAGTCCTCTTGTTCCTCTTATATATACTTAATTTAGACGGCCTTCGGCACATGAATTGTCCGCTTCAAAAATGGATTACACCCGCCGCAAAAGAGCGGCCATGTCGGCCTCGCCCTGCTCATTTTTTCTGAACTTTTACAGCATTTACAGAAAATTGCCGTTGGTAATCATTTCCCTGGTTCATATGGATCACGTCGCGTGCCACTCGTCGTGTCAACTAAAACCCATATGAGCCATTGCTGTAACAACCAAAAGGCAACTAAAACCATATAATAAATATAATATAAAAAAATTATCGCAACTTAATTCAATCTAACAATGACGTAATTGCACAAAGTATTTTTTTTCTTTATTTCATTCTTTTAGGGGATTTGAAACCTGATTCCGTAATTCCAGGAATATTTTTTTAGTCAATATACAGGGTGTTCTACAAGCTCTATGACAAACTTTGACAGACGGTAGTGGGTTAATTTCAAAAATTTTGTTCTTAAACGAACATAGGTCCGATGATTCGTTTTTATTTGGAAGTTACAAGCATTTTAAAAAATATATTTCAAAGCAACCATCATTTTTATTTGTCAGGCTACTTTGATTGAAATATGAAATTTTGTTTTTTAAAATACTTGTAACTTCTAAACAAAAACAAATCGGACCTATGTTCATATAAGAAACATTGTTTGAAATTAACTCAACTATCATCTGTCAAAGTTTGTCACAGAGGTTGAACTTTTATAAACAATATAAGTAAAATATGCTTGAGATCATACACAGGTGTTTGAATGGTGTGTTGAAGTTGTTAAAAAACTGATTTTTTGTTTGTATCTCCGGAATCTATTAACCGATCCCAATAAAATTTGGTACAGACAATGTATGATAGTAAGCCTGGCATTCCCTAAAATATCAACTCTAAAGGTTTAACCAGTGGTGTACAACTGGATAGGGGTCACCCCTTTTTATATAAAAAAAACTACGCCACTGCATTTTTTACAAGATATTGTAACGGATTTCAAATTTTCTATTTACTCACCCCAAGTTGCCGAGGCGCTCTTCGTGTATTTAGCCGAGGATCGTCGTCAAATGTTCTTAAAATTTAATTTCTGTGCCTTTCATTGTGCCGATCGTAATTTTCCAAATATCATTTTAATCCAAAAAGACGAAAGCGACGAGTGTAAAGAATTTTGTTGATATGTTTACAAATTGCACTTACTTTTAAGCATAAACATAAATATTCTTGTAATATTATGGTTAGAAATGTTTGCTAAAATGGGATTGTATTGGTATGAATAACTTGGGAACGACGAATCTTAGGGAAAAAAATCAAGTTACCTATTTTACGTATTTTGTGCATTAAAATATAAATTCGTTACAATGTCTTGAAATAAATGCAGTGGCGTAGTTTTTTTTATAAAAATGGGGGTGACCCCTGTCCAGTTGTACACCACTGGTTAAACCTTTAGAGCTCATATTTTAGGGAAACCAAGGCTTACTACATTATACATATACATCATCTGTACCAAATTTTATTGAGCTTGGTTAATAGATTCCGGAGATATAAACAAAAAAAAAGTTTTAACAACTTCAACATTCTGTATCTCTAAAACGATGCCGTTCCAGACAAACAGATACTATTTTAAAGTATAAAATTCGGACCACCTTGTACAATATTTATATTTATGACACAGAAATTATCTTCTCATTATTCACGTTATAGAGATGGTACCAATAGAAAACAAAGAATCATCCTATAGAATGCGGGATATCCCCATAGCGTCCCGCCAACAGAGAATGTTAAAGCGCGATTCATAAAATGCAGCTCTGTTACCTCATACCATCACATCGATCCTTATTATTACAATATGTTCAGCTCAACTAAAGGTTACACGAATTCTTACTTGGGCGGTGCCTCGTCCTGTGTGTTACATTAAGTAACAGTTGAAGTGAGTTGTAAACCGAAATTACTGCATATAATTACACCAATGCCTTTCTACGACTTCGTCGTGTCGTTTACAAGCCTGGTTCTGAAATAATTACGGTTCTAACGGAACTACAATATTCTTTAATTAAAAAAAAAATAGGTTGGGCATCAGATATTGTTATTATAAAATTGGAATTAATAAAATTGGTACATTTGCTTAGTAGACACAGTTCATTTTGAGGTGCAGGATCTATAGGTCAGATAGCACCTTTCATAATCAAAAACACAGCCCAATGATCGAAACTCCAGTAAAGTGTAAACAACCAACTTTGGAAAAAACCAAATTGTTACGTTTTATTCATTAAAGTTAGGAATTATTTTTCCTAGCTAAATTGGTCCGGTCCAATAACGTTTTTAGAACTGATCTAGACACTGTTTAAAGTAATAGATTGGTAACATGTAAGAAGCTGGTAAGTCACAGAATACTAAATGTTCCTATTTAAACGGACAACAATAAACGTCGTTCTTTTTCTAGCATCAATTTAATGTCATCTGTCATCTAGTTCACACATCTTTCATCTTGCTTTAAATCTAGTACCATAATTTAGAAGTACGCTAAATGATAAGTCTTTCTTATAGCTCAAGTCGTGTATTATACTAAATTAGAAAACATAAATAGTAAGGAAAATAGCATTTCGGACTCAGCAGCACAATCCTTTGCCAAGGAGGCTTCCTCCCCATCCAATGCCCCCCAGTCCGATGGGTGCAATTGCAGGGCCAGCAATAGCAGGACCGGCAATGACTGATCTGGTGAGTAAGGGGGTGCTCAGGGCGATAGGAGCCGCGACAGCTGTTGGTCCCAGGGCGAGTTGTCGGGAGGCGACGATGCTGGTGGCGATGGGGGCACCGATGAGACCACCATAGGCGGCGGCTACTGCCACGATGAAGAAGACGTACTGAAAATGAATTATATTAGATAGAAAAAAGTGACAGTTTATGCGAAAGAGTCATCATTCTAGAAACTTTGCTTCCAAACTGAAACCTTTGATTTTAGAGGTACTTACTCTCATTTCGATTGAAACTATCTCACTGCTATTCACAACTAGGCCAGAGCCCCCTTAGCAATTAGAGAATTATTTTTTTATATGCAGGTCATAACATATGCAGGTTTTATATGCAGTTCATAACTGCGGTCCCAAACGGAAAAGAATCGGAGATTTTAACAATTTTTAATTCTTATCATAGTAAATTAAAATTTACTATTGAAATAGAGCAAAATGGTAGTATGCCTTTTTTAGATCTAAAAATTATAAAGACATCAGATAATAAATTATTAACAAATTGGTATCATAAACCGACTTTTTCTGAAATATCTTTGAACTATTACTCCTGTCATGGTTTTAAACAAAAGGTAAATATAATTTACAATTTAAAACACAGATCTTTAAAATTATCTAGTGAACAATTCCGTAAACAAAATTTAAACTACATTAAATTAATTTTGTTAAAGAATAATTTTCCAATTTCAATGATTAATAAGGTTGTCAGAGTAGGACAAAATGAAAACAGACATGCTAACGTAGGTCAACAACAATATTATAAAATACCCTATATACCTAAACTTTCAGAAAAGCTAGGTAGGGTGTTGGTCTCAGAAAATAACCAAAAGATAACTTTTAAGAATGAAAATACTATTGGCATCAGATTTTATAGTAAATTAAAAACTAAGACTCCTTTCAAATTGAAATCTAATGTGGTTTATAAAATACCTTGTGGAAACTGTAAAAAAAGTTATATTGGTTAAACGGGTGGATATATAAATATACGTATTTCAGAACATGAAAGAGATTTAAAAAAACCAAATAATTTACATCCAACTGCACTTGTAGAACATTCAAAAGAATTCAATCACTATTTGAATTTGACAAAACCGAACTACTTGGGCATCAAACTATTCTTTCAAAAAGGTTACTGGAGGAAATGATTTATATTAAAAAAATTAATAGTGTTAATACAAAGGAGGATATAGATAATTTAAACTTAGTTTATTATAATTTAATTGATAAAATTCTCTTGTAACAGTATTTTGGTTTACTCAGATTTAGACTTTTTTTTCATAAATGTGCTGGATTAGAAAGTAAAAAATAAAAAATAAAAGGGAAAAAGAAAGGGAAAAAAGTATAAGGAAAAAGAAGCATGATATCTACACACATTAGAATCAATGTATTTTTCCACTGTCATTTTGCTGAATGGTACCTAAGACGTTCCAACAATGTTTACTGTGAAAGAAAACCACATTGAAATTGTTCCATGAATTATAAGTACACATATAAGCATCTAGATACCATATTCTTAATATTTAGAACTGTTAAGTTGGACAAAAGACACTTAAAATTTCGGTGAGTGAGTAATACCTATGTTATTTTTAGAGCTGTTTTAGAATTTTTCTTTTTCGGGTTTTATGGTAATTGTGACAGGAACAATTTTTTAGAATTATTGTAAATGTATTTGTTTTTTTATTTTAATACCTTAACGAATTTTATTAAAAACATTGTTTGTATTTTAGAGCACTGAGGATGGTGTAAAATAACACCGAAACGTTGGCAATGATTTAAAATATAGTGTTCTTTTATTTATTGATCTTTATCCCACTAAAACCTTGACTTGGATAAAAAAACTTAGCTCTCACTTCGATTTCTGAACTATGCCCTTACTTTAATTTAAGAACTAAATAGTTTGGTTCCTTACCAGAGTTTTCATTTTGTTCAAAGAAATACTCGTATCACTTGCAAGAGACACTATTGACGAAGAACTTATTGTCTAACATCGCACCCTAGTATTTATATACACAATTCGACCGTCCTTCGTCGCCCCTGTGCTAAATTCGATATATTTTGAAAAAAATGAACTGGTTCTAACTAGGATGATTTTTTTCCCTGAGTAATATCAAGTTTTGCTTTGACGGCTAATGTATGTCCGAGTAGGCTTAAAATGCAAATTCAATACTGAAGAGAATTGCATCATAAAAGATAAACAGTGGAATTTGTTATTGTATTTCGTATAGCTTCGCTGTATAAATAAATTAAAACAGTAGTTTTTTATTTTTGTATTTTATTTGTTTTCCTATATTGCTTCTACAGACTAAATTTTGGTTTAAAAACAAAAAGGAACATGCTGTAACAATAAATAATGTAGACATTCATTTTTTCTAGATTGTTATGATCGACAGTCCAATTTCAGTGGTTACCAAACTGTGGCGGCTGCTGGGAGGACAGCAGGTCCCACGACAGAACGGGAGAGAGCCCAGGGAGATGCAAGTCCTGGAGCGACGATTCCTGCTGATAGAGGGGTGGCTACTACTGAACGGGCAGCAACAAGAGGTGATGACACTACGGAGGCGGACCATGGAGAAGCTACCAAGGGAGCGGGAGCGAGGACTCCTGCTTTGACTGCGGCAACAGCGAGGACGACAAAGACGACTGCGATCTGCAAATATAAATCGCAATAATAAGGCCCATTTTGAAAAATCCACTAAACAACTTTCACAAAAAAAATATTAACCATGAACCTACTGATTTTTTTTATTGTATATTTATAATAAGTGGAAGATTTTTATTTGCATTGTTATTTTTTAATTCAGTTATTTGTCTAAGTTGTAATTTTTTGAGAATTTTTATATATTTAGAATCGTTTTTCATAGAAAAAATTATGTTCAATAACGATTAAAATTTGAGTTGTTATAAATTAAATTTAATTACAATCTGCTACTAACTATTAACTATTATAAATACTAAATATGATTAGAAAATTTAAAATTTATGAGTAAATGTTTTAGATATAAATTCAAACAACTTCTTTCTTATGCATCTTTAACTTAATTCAATTACATACATATATGTAAACAGTTGACTCAGAACAAATGTTAATTTAATAACATATTCTAATTGTCAAACAATTTTTTTACACTGTTAATAAGAATATTATCTAACGACCAAATATTCTAAATAAATAATTACCATGGAGTTCATGTTGATAATTGTGGATTTGGTCAGGTTGAATTAGCAACTTGTCTGTACCCTAAACCAGTTGAGATTTTATAGGCACATGCAAATTTGGTGCCCTTGAAAATGCGTGTGGTTCCTGTATGCTTTGAAAAAAATAGAATGATTAAATCCTACGAAATGTTGCATTGCAATTTTTAAATCGGGTCATTATTTGTCAGACGAAAATTGTCTTTATGCAGATGGCCAGGTGTGTTTGCGCAAGTAGATGTGCACATTTCTGCATATTTTTAGCGAACTTGTTTGAAAAAAAATCGCAATCATTACACCGTTTAGTTTTTTCGTGATATTTTCGAAGGAATGCCGTTGGAACTCGTTATTTCTAATGAAGCACACTTTATATTTTTAGTGGTTTTCTTTTATACTGTACAAAAATTTAAAAACAAATGTGTTTTCTTATACAGGGTGCTTTGGAAAAAGTACCATAAATTCAGGAATCTTTTTCTACTGGACATAGCTTATCGTTTTCTATTGTTTTATATCAAGTCGCCTCAATATAATTTTACTTCTTTAAAAGGCTAACGCATTAAAAAATTGTGTATCTTGTTTACACAAAATTTAATTTTACTTAACAACGATCGCTAAAAATACCTGAAAGAGTTATATTTTGCCACATTCTTAGCCTTACAAAAATACTTCAGTTTTTAAAAAATTTTAAACAGAGTAGTTTTTGGCAGATAATGTTCAATAAGTTTGGTTTCTTTAGCTTAATATACATGGAAGATAAAAAAGAAAAACAATTTTTCTCTGAAATTTTTGGTAGGGCGTAACTTTATAGGGGCGAATTTTTTAAAAAAAAATTATACCAAAGACCCCTATTAAATTTCACCAGAGAATCGCTCCTTATATTTTTTCGGTGCTATTTAGATACAACCTGTATAATTTTACTGGCTTTTTTGTCAAAAACACGTCAATGCAAAAACTTGCATCAATATTATATCGTGTGAATGCAATGAACATCATGGAGAGCAGACCTCTAGACAGCTAAGTATTAGAATAAATGTCCAGAAAGAGTAGGTACTTATATAAAAAAAACGGAAATTTACTAAACTGAAAATTTGCAAACACGATTGGGAAAATAGTTAATGGGTTACGTCAAAATTTTAGAAAAGGAAAATAATGCAGTTGAAAATGAGGATAATACATTTACTAATATTATTTTATTTACTAAAGCTGGTTTTACAATTCGTAACACCATAATTACTAATGACATTTATTTGAATCTTGGCACCTTGATTTATTACAGAAATAATTATCAAAAATTTGATTGGTTGTTTATTAAAACTTTAATAGCGATTTCCTGCTAAACGCTTACATTTATCGGCTTGAATAAAGAGTATATCACTTTTTTGATAACGTTTCTCTTTTCAGTAATGTTTAAATTTCTGTGATGTCTAGCAAGGGAAAAAAGTTATGAAAAAAACAAATTTTGAGTGCTAGGTAAAGTGACCTCTAGCGGGCATGATGAAAGTTTTCTCTGACTGGCCCAATAATAGGCGAGCGGTTCACCCCTAAAAAAGGCATGAACCAACTAGGTTTATGCTGTAGGTTTTTGTTTTAAAAATTTAGTCGGTACCTTCATTTAGAAGCATCTTTTTAGGGGTGAAAGTTTGCAAACAACTGACAATTCAAAAAAAAAAAAATTTCATTACATACTGCTATTATTTTAATCCCTAGAATCACTGCCCGGAGTTTCCGGACGAACTTTCAAAACACCTTGTATTTTTGATGTGCTGTTTGTTTTTCCAATATGAGATTTTTGGCTAGGCAAACATAATGTAATAAAAATTTTTATTTTGATAGTACATATTTGTTACAAAAAATTAAAACCAATGAACATTACAGTTATTAGGCAAATACTTTATTTAACATATTTTCTTTTCCTTTTTTTTATTTTTGACAACCATCCGCAAATAACACTTGATTGTTTCTTTTGGGTCAGAGGTTCAACTTTTTTTTCGTTTCTTTTACTTTATTTTATCTTTTTCACATTCCTATTTAGAAATAAAATGTAATAGATTGAGGCATATGGTATATTTTATTTATTTTTCACAACGCCTTACAGAAAAAAATTCCATTCAAAAAATGCATCAGAAACGAAACTGGACATGCTGGTAAAAAAGTATAAATAAATAACGTAAGTCCTAAATTAACATCCTTCTTCATGTAAAAGTAGTAGGCAGTCCAAAAACAACGAATTACCAGACTGTGGCGGCTGCTGGAAGAACGGCTGGTCCAACAACTGAGCGGGAAAGGGCCCAGGGGGCAGCAAGTCCTGGAGCGACGATTCCTGCAGACAAAGGAGAAGCTACCACAGAGCGGGCGGCGATAACAGGGGATGAAACTACGGAGGCAGCCCATGGAGAAGCTACCAAGGGAGCGGGAGCGAGGACACCTGCGTTGACTGCGGCAACGGCGAGGGCGACAAAGACGACTGCGATCTGAGGAAAAAAATATATAAATCAGCCAAATGTTTCGAACGACAAATTATTGAAGCTAATTCTATAAATAAAATTATACTGCAAATATTTACCATGTACTTCATCTTGATGTTTGTTGTTGATTTGTTCAAGTAGGCTTAGCAACTTGGCTCTGTGCTAAACCAGTTGATCTTTTATAGGTACATGTTAATTTCTCGCCCTTGAAAATATGCGTTTGGTCCTATTAAAAAAACGGATGATTAAATTGTATCAAATATTGCAGTCACATTTTTAAATCCAGCTCTTTTTTATTGTTGAATTATATTAGTGTGTTAGTCAAATTTTCGCGGATAACAACATTCTGATGTTTTTTTAAGGATTTAAACATTTTATTACCTATTATAAGATAAGAGCAGATGAATATCAAGAATTAACAGAAACTGTAAATTATTGTCAATGATTTTCCCTTGCTTTTGTATAATATCTTTGTTTCATAAAAATTTATTGAAATACTCAAAAATTCAAGAAAAATTTAAAATAATTTCAACTTTTTTATGAATTTCACTGAATTTCACAGTACTCAAAACTAACAGATAATTGGAAGGAATAGAAGGAAATGTGATACCATTCCCTGAATATATTTAAGTAAAATTTGATATAGATTTTTCGTGGTAGAAAAATATGAAGAACATACTAATTTTTTATGTAAAATCGCCCCTAAAAATATCTGGAACAATCTGATTTTTCCTATACTTTGCATCTTTGCAAATATAGAAACTTCTTACATGTTCTGTTTCTGTTGTATCAAATGGCTTTCACCTTAGGCCAAATAAGACTGTTGGTATCTTATAAAAAAACTTTATAAATTCTATTTTTGTATAATAAACGTAATACATACTTAAAAACTAACAATAATTCAGTTACAACTACTTAAAGACGGTACTTTTTAACCGTAAAATTGCTCAAAAGCATGACAGTGAAACATTTTTAAAACAGAAATCATTTCTTTACTTTAAAACCTTATATCTCAAAAACTCCCAATAGTAATCAAATGGACCTTTAAATCGCGATTTTGGTCAACTTGCCTGAATTTTTTATACAAGTTAGTTTGAGGTATATAACAACAATAAGTAACAGCATTTCTTTTTCAACCCCCGGTCGGAGGTGAAAAAGGAAGAAATAAAGGAGTTTTTCAAGATAACTCAAAATGGGTAAGAGCTAGAAAAAAAGTTGTAGAGCATAAAATTCTACATAAAAATGGTTAACTAAATTTTTCTTGTACTATTAAAATTAACAGTTAGGGAGACTAGAAGTTAAGGGATGATTTCAGAAA